TTTTCTAACCCAGTCTATGACAATAACATATTTAAGAATTTTATTATAAATTAAAATTACAAGAAATATATTAGCATCTCATTTTATCACTTAAGGATTATTATGTACCTAACTACTCGTATATATAATAACCATTTTTTGTCCCTTATCTGTGATACATCCTCACTGATATTTTAATTTAACATGTTTAGGATATATTTTTTTAGCTATTTCCTTTAAAAAAATTTGAAAAAGTTTAAAAATAGCGATTATGACAATTGTCACCTATCTATGATACATCCTCACTGAATTTTTAATTTAACATGTTTAGAATATATATTTTTAGCTATTTCCTTTAAAAAAATTGAAAAAAGTTCAAAAATAAAGATTATGACAATTGTCACCTATCTGTGATACATCCTCACTGATATTTTAATTTAACATGTTTAGGATATATTTTTTTAGCTATTTCCTTTAAAAAAATTTGAAAAAGTTCAAAAATAGCGATTATGACAATTGTCACCTATCTATGATACATCCTCACTGAATTTTTAATTTAACATGTTTAGAATATATTTTTAGCTATTTCCTTTAAAAAAATTGAAAAAAGTTCAAAAATAGCGATTATGACAATTGTCACCTATCTATGATACATCCTCACTGAATTTTTAATTTAACATGTTTAGAATATATATTTTTAGCTATTTCCTTTAAAAAAATTGAAAAAAGTTCAAAAATAACGATTATGACAATTGTCACCTATCTATGATACATCCTCACTGAATTTTTAATTTAACATGTTTAGAATATATATTTTTAGCTATTTCCTTTAAAAAAATTGAAAAAAGTTCAAAAATAAAGATTATGACAATTGTCACCTATCTATGATACATCCTCACTGAATTTTTAATTTAACATGTTTAGAATATATATTTTTAGCTATTTCCTTTAAAAAAATTGAAAAAAGTTCAAAAATAAAGATTATGACAATTGTCACCTATCTGTGATACATCCTCACTGATATTTTAATTTAACATGTTTAGGATATATTTTTTTAGCTATTTCCTTTAAAAAAATTTGAAAAAGTTTAAAAATAGCGATTATGACAATTGTCACCTATCTATGATACATCCTCACTGAATTTTTAATTTAACATGTTTAGAATATATATTTTTAGCTATTTCCTTTAAAAAAATTGAAAAAAGTTCAAAAATAAAGATTATGACAATTGTCACCTATCTGTGATACATCCTCACTGATATTTTAATTTAACATGTTTAGGATATATTTTTTTAGCTATTTCCTTTAAAAAAATTTGAAAAAGTTCAAAAATAGCGATTATGACAATTGTCACCTATCTATGATACATCCTCACTGAATTTTTAATTTAACATGTTTAGAATATATTTTTAGCTATTTCCTTTAAAAAAATTGAAAAAAGTTCAAAAATAGCGATTATGACAATTGTCACCTATCTATGATACATCCTCACTGAATTTTTAATTTAACATGTTTAGAATATATATTTTTAGCTATTTCCTTTAAAAAAATTGAAAAAAGTTCAAAAATAACGATTATGACAATTGTCACCTATCTATGATACATCCTCACTGAATTTTTAATTTAACATGTTTAGAATATATATTTTTAGCTATTTCCTTTAAAAAAATTGAAAAAAGTTCAAAAATAAAGATTATGACAATTGTCACCTATCTATGATACATCCTCACTGAATTTTTAATTTAACATGTTTAGAATATATATTTTTAGCTATTTCCTTTAAAAAAATTGAAAAAAGTTCAAAAATAAAGATTATGACAATTGTCACCTATCTGTGATACATCCTCACTGATATTTTAATTTAACATGTTTAGGATATATTTTTTTAGCTATTTCCTTTAAAAAAATTTGAAAAAGTTCAAAAATAGCGATTATGACAATTGTCACCTATCTATGATACATCCTCACTGAATTTTTAATTTAACATGTTTAGAATATATTTTTAGCTATTTCCTTTAAAAAAATTGAAAAAAGTTCAAAAATAGCGATTATGACAATTGTCACCTATCTATGATACATCCTCACTGAATTTTTAATTTAACATGTTTAGAATATATATTTTTAGCTATTTCCTTTAAAAAAATTGAAAAAAGTTCAAAAATAACGATTATGACAATTGTCACCTATCTATGATACATCCTCACTGAATTTTTAATTTAACATGTTTAGAATATATATTTTTAGCTATTTCCTTTAAAAAAATTGAAAAAAGTTCAAAAATAAAGATTATGACAATTGTCACCTATCTATGATACATCCTCACTGAATTTCAAATTTAACATGTTTAGATTATATATTTTTAGCTATTTCCTTTAAAAAAATTTGAAAAAGTTCAAAAATAGCTATTATGACAATTGTCACCTATCTATGATACATCCTCACTGAATTTTTAATTTAACATGTTTAGAATATATATTTTTAGCTATTTCCTTTAAAAAAATTGAAAAAAGTTCAAAAATAACGATTATGACAATTGTCACCTATCTATGATACATCCTCACTGAATTTTAAATTTAACATGTTTAGAATATATATTATTAGCTATTTCCTTTAAAAAAATTTGAAAAAGTTCAAAAATAGCGATTATGACAATTGTCACCTATATATGATATATCCTCACTGAATTTTAAATTTAACATGTTTAGAATATATATTTTTAGCTATTTCCTTTAAAAAAATTGAAAAAAGTTCAAAAATAACGATTATGACAATTGTCACCTATCTATGATACATCCTCACTGAATTTTTAATTTAACATGTTCAGAATATATATTTTTAGCAATTTGCTATAAAAAAACTCAAAAAAGTTCAAAAATGTCGATTATGACAATTGTCACTTATCTATGATACATCTTCACTGAAATTTTGATTTAACATGTCTACAATATATATTTTTATCTAATTCATTTTAAAAAGTTCAAAAATAACCATCATAACAAATGGCTCTTTTTTATGGTACATCTTTACTTAAAAATTTTAAAAAATAACTATGATGGAATAGTTAAATCAGAGCGTTATAATTTAAAGAAGCTTTAAGAAACTTTCCCGCCTATAATATTAATATCTACTAAATGTTATTTGACTTTTGGTCGAAAAAAATGATCTAGATATTTGGTTAGGTGAAAAAAAGCAACCCTAACTTTAAGGCGTCTTTAAAAAAAACGATCCATATTTTGGGTCGGATTGAATAAAACGACCCGATGTTTGAGTCTGAGTCAGAAAAACGACCCAAACTTTGAGTTGGAGTCGAAAAATACAACCCAAATTTTGAGTCGGAGTCGTAAAAAACGACCCATATTTTGGGTCGAAGTCGTTTTTTTCGGCTTGAACTCGGGTCGAAGTCGTAAAAAACGACCAAAACTTTGAGTTGGAGTCGAAAAAAACGACCCAAAATTTGGGTGAGCTCTGTTCGAGCCGACTCGGCTAAGCCGATTAACAACACTAATGACATCATATTAAATCTTATTAATAATTATCCTATAATAGTAATATTCTTACTTTGGTATTTCTGCAGCATAATTTAGTGAGCCTTTATTAAATTATATTCTTCTGATTGCAACTGCATATTAACAGCATATAGTAGATTTCCTATATGTAAAATTCCTAAATATACTTCTGCCATTTATTTTTGAAAATTATTTTCAAATAGGACAGCTTTTATAATCTATTTATTTTTTAAAGGTTTGTATTTTAAAATTCTACGATGGCGCGTATTAGGAGGAACCTGTCAACCAACATTATGCTGGCTCAATTCTGAATACACTCTGGTTTTTGCCAAATTCACTGAGGAATTATCAGATCAGAAAGCTACCATGCAATTCATTGTACCATTATATATGGTTAGCTATGTCTTTGGATATTTCATATCTGGAGAAATTTTTTTTAATAGTTTTATTAAAATGACATTAATTTTGTTGAAATAGGGGAGGATCAAGGGAAATGTTTTGATATCTCCTTATTAGATGCATCTGTTAGAATTGCATATGTTTGCACATCTTTCAAATCGTCAAGAATTGACCTTCTGGATTTATATCCTAAAACATTGTTGATAGCCTTGCTCATTTTGTGTTCTACAAAGTATTCTATTCATTTATATTAGTCGTTAAATATTATGGGGAAAGATTCTACCAACATTGAGATGTTGAGTAACTCTCTGAATGTTGTACTGCATGATAGGTATTTACCATTTCCGCAACTGTAGTTGCATCTATATTATTTCTTATTTTTGAAGAATATTTTTGTTTTGAAATAGATGTTGATAGAATGCCCTGTACTGATTTATGCTTTGAAGATTTTTGATACCTCAAAATATCATATTCCCTTCCCCCATTTATTTTTTTACATTGTAAAATTACAATTTTTTATAAAATTTTATCTTGTTTACATTCTTTTGTATTTAAAAAAGATCGTTGGTTATTATTTTTAAACAAAATTAATATATTATAATAAATCAATGTTTTTTTAATAATAAAGATAGTACTCTAAGAAATTTTGTGTCGTAGAGTAATTACCTATTTTGAAAAATAGTTGGGTATTTTATTTTGGAAAATAGTTAACTATTTTATTTTGAAAAAGAGTTGGATATTTTATTTTGAAAAATAGTTAGGCTATTTTATTTTGAAAAAGAGTTGGATATTTTATTTTGAAAAATAGTTGGCTATTTTATTTTGAAAAATAGTTGGCTATTTTATTTTGAAAAATAGTTGGCTATTTTATTTTGAAAAAAAGTTAACTATTTTATTTTAAAAAAAGTTAGCTATTTTATTTTGAAAAATAATTACCTATTTTATTTTGGAAAATAGATTAGATTTTATATTTATAAAAAATAATAAGTGGATAACTAAGTCAATTCTAAATCCAAAAAAATTTTTTTAGCAATTTCTCCCACAATTTTTATATTTCTCCCACAAAATACCTAATTTCTCCCACAATTTGAAAATTTTGACCTGGCAACCCTGTTTATGATACATGGACCATGTGGTATTTTGAATCCTCACTCACCATGCATGGAAAATGGTTCGTGTACAAAAAAATTTCCGAAAGATTTTCAAAAAGAATCTCAACACAATGTGAATGGATATCCATTTTATCAACGTAGAGATAAGGGTTTTATTCATGTCGGAGGTAAGCCAGTTGATAATCGATACGTAATCCCTTATAACAAATATCTATTATTAAAATTTAATGCACACATAAATGTTGAAATATGTACATCAATAAAATCCGTCATATATATTTTTAAGTACGTTTACAAAGGATACGACTGCGCTAATATAGATCTTAAAACTAATTCGCTTCAATCTCATGATGAAATTAGAATGCATATAAATGCCCGATATGTAAGTGCATGTGAAGCCATGTGGAGATTATTAGAAAATCGTATGCATGATCGATCTCACGGTATAAATCGATTAGCAATACACTTGCCATTTCATCAACCGGTATATTTTATAGAAGGACAAGAACGTCAGGCATTAGAGAAATCTGCCAGCAGAAATACTACATTAACTGCCTGGTTTGAATTAAATAAAAATGATGTTAATGCCCGTCAATATTTATATGTCACTATACCATATCATTATACTTTCAGCGCTAATAAGTGGAAACCAAGGCAAAGACAAAACAATATAATTTCAAGGATGTATACTGTTGATCCTAAATCCGGCGAGAGATTTTTCCTACGTTTACTATTACTTCATGTTGTTGGCGCCACAAGTTTTGAATATTTGAGAACTGTAAATGGAGTTTTATATAATACTTTTAAAGAGGCGGCTTTTAAAAGAAATTTATTGGTTGATGACAAGGAATGGGAAGTATTTATGGAAGAAGCGTCAACATTTTTAATGCCCATACAGTTGCGTCAATCTTTTGCCTTTATTTGTATTTTTTGTCAGCCAGAAAATCCAAATAACCTCTGGGAAAAATTTTAAAAATATATGATAGAAGATTTCGCACATACCCATACAGATTCTATTGCAATTAATATGGCCTTATCAGATATAGAAAAAGTATTGCACGACCATGGTTTTCGTTGTAGTAATTTCAATTTGCCTGTTCCTACTTTAATAGCTCAGGATGATTTTTATAATAATGATCTTGAGGCAGCTGAGGCATTGAAACTAATTACTAAATTAAATTTTTTACAAAAATCAGCCTTTGATTTAATCGTTCAATCTATCGAAAATAATGATTTTCCTCAGCGTTGTTTTTATATTGATGGTCCAGGTGGATCGGGAAAAACTTTTTTGTATAATACCCTAATGTGCTACATTAGAGGACGCAACCAAATAGTTTTACCGTTTGCAACAACAGGCATTGCCGCTATTCTTTTAAAAGGGGGTAGAACAATACATAGTGGATTTAAATTACCTATTCCGATTGTTGATAACTCTGTATCTCGCATGAGTCTTCATTCCCCTGATGCTACTGTTATTAAAAGGTCCATATTAATTATTATCGACGAAGCCACAATGATGACTAAATACGCTTTACGCTCTATCGATAGATTACTTAAAGATATAATGCAAATACAGTTCCCATTCGGTGGTAAAGTTATATTATTGGGCGGCGATTTTAGGCAAACTTTACCTGTCATTCCAAACAGTTCAAAAGCATATATTATTGAATCATGTCTTAAGTCTTCTGATTTATGGGTTTATTTTAAAGTTATCCACCTGAATGAAAATATGCGGTTATCTTCTGAAGATGTTGAGTATAATTCCTGGCTTTTGAATGTTGGAGAATCTTTATCAAATGTTTCCAATCCTTTACTCCCTCCAGATTCGATTGAAATCCCAAATTCATTATTAGAAAATTTATTAATCAAATCAATATATGGAGACTCCATACAAATATCTGATATTAATCTATTTTCAAAAAAAATTATATTAACCACTAAAAATAACATAGCCCTAAATTTAAATAACGAAATTATTCAAAAACTACCAGGAAATTCTAAGATATATTTTAGCGCTGATTCTATACAAACAGATAATCCTGAGGATTTACTTAATTTCCCCATTGAATTTCTTCATTCTCAAACCCCATCAGGAATGTCTCCTCATATTTTAAATCTTAAAGTTGGGACAATAATAATGCTTCTTCGTAACATGAATCCCAGCAGAGGCTTATGCAATGGTACACGACTTCTTATCAAAAATTTACATGATAATTTCATAGATTCTAAAATATTATCAGGAACGCATAATGGCCATCGCGTTTTTATTCCTCGAATTGATCTTTCCCCGAGTGATTCCCGGTTGCCTTTCATATTAAAAAGACGCCAATTTCCTATAATTCCTGCTTTTGTTATCATTATAAACAAAAGTCAAGGTCAAACATTCGACAATGTCGGTGTTTTCCCATGGTCAGCTTTATGTCGCTCTAACACGTTGCAGATTTAAAAAAAATATGAAAATAAAAATATTACCTACAAAATACCAGGGCACACTTTTGAATGATAATAGAGTATTTACTCTTAATGTCGTATATCAGGACATATTAAATTCTGTCGCTACAAATTAATAACGATACCACATTGAGCAATACCATCAAATATCCGATACCATAATCAGTAAATTCTATTTTATACTTTCAATTTACACAATATATTTACAGCAAACTACAATCAACAAATTTTAAGGCAAGCGCTACAACCATGGAAATTAAAAAAAAGAATCGTATTGAGCAAAATCATCAAAGATCCGATACCATTATCAGTAAATTATATTTTATACTTTCAATTTACACAATATATTTACAGCAAACTACAATCAACAGCAAGCGCTACAACCATGGAAATTAAAAAAAAGAATCGTATTGAGCAAAATCATCAAAGATCCGATACCATTATCAGTAAATTCTATTTTATACTTTCAATTTACACAATATATTTACAGCAAACTACAATCAACAAAATTTTAGGGCAAGCGCTACAATCATGGAAATTAAAAAAAAGAATCGTATTGAGAAAAATCATCAAAGATCCGATACGATTATCAGTAAATTCTATTTTATACTTTCAATTTACACAATATATTTACAGCAAACTACAATCAACAAAATTTTAGGGCAAGCGCTACAATCATGGAAATTAAAAAAAAGAATCGTATTGAGAAAAATCATCAAAGATCCGATACGATTATCAGTAAATTCTATTTTATACTTTCAATTTACACAATATATTTACAGCAAACTACAATCAACAAAATTTTAAGGCAAGCGCTACAACCATGGAAATTAAAAAAAAGAATCGTATTGAGCAAAATCATCAAAGATCCGATACCATTATCAGTAAATTCTATTTTATACTTTCAATTTACCCAATATATTTACAGCAAACTACAATCAACAAAATTTTAGGGCAAGCACTACAACCATGGAAATTAAAAAAAAACGACCCACATCGAGCAAAACCATCGATATTCCAGACGAATGCTTAAAAATCTAACATCCCTCTCATTTTGAAATATCTTTAATCTCATTTTTAGTAAAATTTTTGATATTATAAAATTTACTATATTATATTTTTTATCTGGTTACAAATGCATATGTGTTGGAACCCAATAATCGTGAAGTCTTGAGGTATATACAATTATTTTTATATATTTTCTTATAATTCATATCTTTGTCTCTTTTTTTCTATTTCTTCCTTCTTTTTTTCATTTCTTTGCTCTCCTAAAATCCATCTCCTACCTTCACGCGGTGGGGAGTGAACAGAAATGCTGACTAACAGGAGCTCTGGGATAATACTGGTATTTGTGGTGTCAAGTTTACATGTAATAAATCTTAATTATTGGATAAAATTTTCTTTTAACTTAGTACCTGGCACCATTAATATCCATAATCCTTTCAAATGAGATAACTCTAATTCCCCGTCATTCTTGACGGGTTATTAGCTAGTATTGTATAAATTCGCAATTGAATAACATTTAAGAAAAAGATGAAGTATTAAAAAAAATATAAAATGCAATAAATATATTGTATAAATTCGCAATTGAATAACATTTAAGAAAAAGATGAAGTATTAAAAAAAATATAAAATGCAATAAATATAATTTGAATTTGCAATTGAATAGATTTTAACTTATAAAAAGGATGCCAAACTATTGTTTTTTATAAAAATAATTATTAATAAAAATATAGAGCACAATAACATTTAACAAAAAGATACTTACCGATTATCATCTTTCAACTAAATTGCAATAAATATAATGGAATAAAAATATTAGAATAGATAATCACATTGATATAATTCTAACAAAATTATTGTTATTTACATTGCATAGATAAATATTTTTTTTAAATGATTTAATATTAATAAAAAATTTCATAGGCGAATAATAAGCCCACTTATATTAGGCATAGATAATATATTTGTCTGTAACAATGTGGCCATAGATAATATTACTACATCTGTTGCCCAGACACCGTTTCCCATAACATTTCTGTTAACTAGGTATTCCTCTACTGGATATCCTAAAAAATTTCCCATTTCCAATTTGAAATCTTCGCTCCTCATAAAAAAAATGCATTCCTCCCTAAGGTAATTATAATTTTCCTGGCTATTTGATATCTCTTGACTTATACACCTATAAACATGATAGATAATTAAATATTATATATAGATACTAACCTAAAAAACAGTTCCCATCACCCACAATATGATCGGTTGTGAAAATCTCTTTTAATATATCACATTTTATCTTGGGATAACGTCCAATTACTTTGAAATTGAACGTTTAGAGTGATCAGTGGCGTAGCTACGGGGGTGGTTTTCGGGTTTGGACCCCTCCCAGAGCAAATTTTTTTTTAGATTATATGTTCAAAAGACCTAAAAGTGATTTTATATGAATTATATTTTTCTGGTTTGGATGTTTGTGGAAGGATATTATATTACTATTGAAATTATTCTGAATAGTATTATTATAAAGTCATTGAGAATAATCTACTAAATTATAATAACATATTATTGATGCATTTAAAAAATATATTTATTATATATTATCGAAGATATGATTATGATTTGTAAGATAAACACGGCCGAAGGCCGGGCAAAAGGACCGAAGGCCCGTTAAAGGGGGTCTGGGGGGCGAAGCCCCCAGCTTTTATATGTATGGACCCCCTCTAAGGAAAATTCCTAGCTACGCCACTGAGAGTGATATACCTTCCAGTTCCTTGTTGTGGGCAAAGTTCACCAATTTTCTTTGGTATTATTGCTTCCAAAATAATTTGGTCATCTAAATTTGATTTAAATAATAACATATTTTTAAAAAATATTACTACCCTGATCTTGTACACCTATATATCCTTCCTCTCTCACTATACTTTTAATAGCTATTATTGGTTTTTCACCAAAAGTATCTGTATCCAAAAAAATATACTAAATAATTTTATATATTTTACCCTTTCTCTTGACACGTTTTATTTTAGTATCCACCTTTCTAAATTCCAACCCTAGAATTTTAGATTTATCAAAAATAAAATTTTTCCAATTTTTAAAAAATAAAACTTTCTCCTGAAACTTTTATTCCACAGGACATTTCTTCAAATAGTGCTTCTTCTAATGAAAATATAATAATTAAAAATATATTTTCCTTTTTCCCAAATGCATTTGTTTACCTTCTCCTTCTCCAACTATAGTTTTAAGAAGCCTACAAACTTAATTATTTGTTTAATATTATTTTATGAATAAATTGATATTACCTTGATCTTGAACACCCTCTATAGTTTCATAATGCGCAATTTTTTTGACTGTATCTTTACCATTAAAAAAAAGTTATATTCATATATTTAAAAAATAATACCTTTGTTACCCTCTATATAGTGCTTTAAATTACTTATATTAGCCTTAATATTTAAAATTTTTCCATTTGAAGAGGATAATTCTATATTGCCTAAATATGTATAAATATTTTGTTAAAAATTAATAAATTTACTATTAACAATTCTAACAATTGTATAAGGACCTACCCAAGGCTGCAACATTTTCCCTCCTTTCCTGTCAGCCCGACGATTATTCCACACAAGCACTTTATCATTTATGTGATTAAGTGCATTCTTTACAGCATTACGAGTTTTATAATCTCGTTGCTGCTTAAGCTGAGCCTTTATAATATTTTTTGTTGCAGTCTTGAATATGCCTTTCATATTGTCTGCCCTTCTTTGGAAATTGCAGTCATAATCTGTATCAGAAAGATCGTCAAGATCTGTTCTGGTTCTCTATCATCCTTAAATAATAAAAATAAATATTTATTATGTATAATAATTTTATACAAATAATGATATATATATATATCATACCTCACAGGGCAGTAAAGCTTTCCTGCCATACATCATCTCACATGGCGTAAATTTTGAGGATTCATGCCTTGATGTATTGTAGGCAAATACAATACCAGGGAGAACTCCAGGCCAATCTTTCTGATTGCCTTTTGTGCACTTCAAAAGGGAATTTTGAAGAGATTGGCTCGCTCTACCATGCCATTAGCCTGAGGATGGTAGGCACTTGTCACTCTCTGCTGGGTTCCCGCGAGTTTGTGATATTCATTGCTCACTTGGTTTACAAACTCGCACCCCTGATCATTAATTTGGACCTATAAATATGATAAATATCATTATATTATAAAAATGCCTGCATAACAGTGAGTATAAAAAGAGGGTCACTGAATGGGCTGTCTTATCCTTTATAGGCTGTGCTTCAATATATTTTGAAAAATAATCAACAGCAACAGCAATATATTTGAACCCATCAGTGCTCTCTGGCAATGAACATAGGTCTACCCCTATTTGTGTCCATACCTTAGATGGAATAGGAATAGACTGCATTTCCAAACTTGTTTTGTCAAATCGGGAATTGTATCTTTGATATAGGTCGCATGATTTTACAAAGTCAATGACATCTTGCCGCATTTCTTGCCACCAATATCTAAAAGACATAATTGAAATGCTATATTGTTATTTAAAGTTTTAAGCATGTTAAAAGAAATTTGTTAAAGATTAAATTTAAAAAATTTTCCCTATCAATTGAAAGAGCTGACTATATTGGTACTGCTTGATGTATAAGTTTTTAAAGTTATATATTCTTTCTAAAAGTGGTGCAAGCTTTTTGGGTCATATCAGGTTAAAACTGAGCAATATTTACTACCTGATTATGTTAAAGTAAATTTTAATAGTGTTGCAAGCTTTTTGGGTGATATCAGGCTAAATATAAGCAAAATTTTAAAAGAATATTCTATTAATTGAAAGAGAATTTTATATTGAGTACTGTATCCTAGCTTATAAGAGCAATATTTACTATTTGATTATGTTAAAGTACATTTTAAAAGTGTTGCAAGCTTTTTGGGTGATATCAGGCTAAATTTAAGCAATATTTTAAAACAATATTCTATTAATTGAAAGAGAATCTTATATTGAGTACTGTATCCTAGCTTATAAGAGCAATATTTGCTACCTGATTATGTTAAAGTACATTTTAAAAGTGTTGCAAGCTTTTTGGGTGTTATCAGGCTAAATTTAAGCAATATTTTAAAACAATATTCTATTAATTGAAAGAGAATTTTATATTGAGTACTGTATCCTAGCTTATAAATTGTGGAATTTATCAGTAATATTCATAAAAATTTAGAAATAATACTTAAACCAGTTTATAAAATTATGTTATAAATAGTGTAAATATACCTTTCAACTAGTTTATCATATGTCTTGTTGATTCCAAAGTGACCTGATAATGACATTTCTATGAGATTTGTCTCACATCCTCCATGGAATGAGACTAAAAGTTTTTGTTGCTGGCTAAAGAGTGAGATAACTTCAGCATTATGTAGGTGATGGTATAATTTGTCATTCTCTAAGAAAAACTTGGCACATTTGACTCTAAGGTTTCTTTTTAAGCCATGATCGCCGACATAGGAGTTTGGGTAGGTTTTGCATCTTAGGTAATTATAAATATCATTGATAACATCGAGATTCACTATTTAATATTTTTATATATTTTACTTTTTACGTGAACAAGTTACTTTTTGAATAGGATGTCTAATTTCACAAATTAGATAAATAAAATTAAAATTCGATTCAAAATTTAAATTTGAAAATCAAATTTAATATCAAAAATTAAATTTACAAGAATTTCAGTAATATTAAAAAACTGCATGATCATATAACTCTCCCTATCAATTTACATTGTAATTAATATCTTTGTTACTAATCAACTCCCTCCTTAATTATTTATCAAAGGGGGAGTTAATCTATCATAGTTATTACTTAACTCAGAGGTATGTGATAAGGGGAGTTAATTAATCACGCTACAGATAATCAGTAATATTTAATCAAAGAATTTTGATATGGGGTATTTAAATATATTTTGACTCAAAAAATAGTATTCACTTGGGTTGGACTTGACCTAAATGTGTGTGGGGCAGGTGGGATAAAAAGAATAAAAATTGGATATGAATTTTAAATAAAAGGTAATATCTTTCATAAAAGAAAAGAATAAAATTATCATTTTAAATATTTAGACATAATGAGTGATAATGATATTCCATTTTTAACACAGAATTTCTTTCTTTCTTTCTTTCTTTCTTTCTTTCTTTCTTTCTTTCTTTCTTTCTTTCTTTCTTTCTTTCTTTCTTTCTTTCTTTCTTTCTTTCTTTCTTTCTTTCTTTCTTTCTTTCTTTCTTTCTTTCTTTCTTTCTTTCTTTCTTTCTTTCTTTCTTTCTTTCTTTCTTTCTTTCTTTCTTTCTTTCTTTCTTTCTTTCTTTCTTTCTTTCTTTCTTTCTTTCTTTCTTTCTTTCTTTCTTTCTTTCTTTCTTTCTTTCTTTCTTTCTTTCTTTCTTTCTTTCTTTCTTTCTTTCTTTCTTTCTTTCTTTCTTTCTTTCTTTCTTTCTTTCTTTCTTTCTTTCTTTCTTTCTTTCTTTCTTTCTTTCTTTCTTTCTTTATTTCTTTCTTTCTTTCTTTCTTTCTTTCTTATAATTAATTATATGTATTAATCTAATCTAATAATTAAATTAGTACTCATTTAAAGATAGATTAATTTTTAAATAATAAATCAAATCTATATATGATACATTATAGAATTATAAAAGAAATCGTTATAGAATTATAAAAGATATCGTTCAGAAGGCTATCAAAAAAATTTAATTTTAGTTCTAAAAGATATTAGGAACCATTAAAAAAAAAATTTTTGCTTCAAGAGACTTTTCAAAATTTTTAGTGGGCTCGAGCCCCTGCGCATTCTCAGGGGGCTATCCATATTTTTTAGTGGGCTCGAGCCCCTGCGCGCCTCTTCCTAGTGACATTTATAATTAAATCCTTCAAGAAACTTCATCACATGATCTGGATTTATTATTTTTATAAAATAAATCAATATAATATTATATGGCCTGGAGATTTTGCTTATGGAAGGTAGAAAGATTTATACCTCTATATGCCAAAACTCGATGCTTGCATAGTCATCGTTAAAATGTTAGGGTTATTTTAAAAAATAAAGTTTTTTAACCACACTAATATTAAAGTTAATAAAATATATAAGTACTAAAAATATAAAACAAATTTGTTGATATTAAAATAATACAAAGTAGGTCTTTGTTAAATAAAATATACTGTTAAAGGAAATTTAATTTGAATATAACATTAGAAATGGGATATGTTTAATATAAAATAATATATAAATAAGTTTAAATTTACAATAAAAACGTTTTGTAATTGAAACATAAATTTTTAATTAGAATTAAATTTAAATATAGATTTTAAAAAATCCCTTCTTATATAATTATAATCATTATTTCGACTAAATGTTATCAATATAAAGCGGCCAATCAAATTTTCATCACACTCCCTTTATTTCAACCAATCCTTCGTTTAATTTTTATGCCAAATGTAATAAATGACCTATTTTGTAATTTTTTTTTATAGAATCTGGATAAAATAATGCAAAATAATATTAATATTGAAAATCAACATAGTTACCAATTTCAAATTGATAATTATAAATTGAATTATGATTCCAAAATTGAAAATAAGGAGATTTATAGTGGTCATCTTATGATAAGTGATGTAAATGGGTATGAATCAGATGATGAAGCATCATCTAGTTCAACATCCCATGGTTCTTTAACATCAACTGAGAAAAATATAGACAACAATTTATTACCAAATACAAATTACAAATTCAAAAATGACCATATGCTTGATTTAAGGCATTCAATTGATATTTGTGATTTTATAGATAATAAACCTATTAATATGTCAGAAAAGGTTAATATGGGCAAACATCCAATTGAAATTAAATCATCTGATACCTATAATTACAATCCTAATCCAAATTATAATATTGGTTCAGAAAATTTAAGTGAAACAACTTTAAAATTATTTGAAAATATGACAAATTCATGGGATTCAAATGACCTAGAAATCAATAATATGCAAAGCTTCTCTAATGAAGCACAATATATACAAGGTGAAGGTTTACTATTTTAACTAATTATAATCTTATTTGCAAATTTAGGGGCTCAAAATTTGAATATTAATGATAAGCACTACAATGATTTAAAGAATATTTATGATATAAATAACAAACACAAATATTTTAATATGATGAAGAAACATTCATTAAATAATGTTTTTATTGATGCCTCATTATCTCGCTTATTTAAATGTATGACACTGGCTTACAAGTATAATAAAATATAATTAACCATTTATATTTTTGGTTTAGTGAAAAACCAACTTCACCACGGTGGAATTGGTTTAGAGGATTGAAACTTCAATTAAAAGATAAGCTTAGATTAAATAACGTTATTTGGAGAGCATGGCATATGCAATGTATATCAAATTTTAATATATTATTGTATAATTAATTTTAAATAAATAAAAGTGGGCTTGACATAAACCTCATAACCTATTAATCCTCTCAAATTATGTGTGGATTTATAAATAAATATAGAATCAATCACTTCTAGATGATTCAGGAAATATTAAAATTTGTTTTTAACAATTTTCTGCAAAAAAATAATATGGATTTGGCTGAAGTTATGAGAATCATGATGATTATTTCAACTTTACGAGATTTATATGATCGTTGTGCTTCGATTTGCACCTATACAAACAAATTGTACCATGACTTGTTGCCTCCAATTTTTTCATCATATGGAAACCTGAGGATATATAAAATCTTCATATAAAAGTTAATATTTAGCTTAATTTTATTCAGAAGATATCGAAAGGCCAATTAATTTCAGAATTTAAAATTTGGCATGAGAAACACAAGGATCATTCCATACTTTAAAAAAATTTTAATTTTTTTATAAATATATTAACATTATTGTATATTTTGGTAAAAATTCCAAATAGTAAGCCACAAGAGAATAGTTAAAACCTATCTTAAAAATATCACATCAGAAAATTAATTGAATGAACTAGCTCAACTTAAATATATGAGTTATTCCTCAGTTAAGAACAACCTATTAAAAAATTGGCACAATTGGAAAGAAGATTAAATACCCATTTATGAGCCATATTTTCATTAACTTTTTAAACCATCATATAATGTTTAATTCTATAATTTATTGTGATTTACATACCAGTTTATATAGCTATATTTTTAATATTATATTCACTCATAGGGCTGGGAACCAATAGTAAAAACCCAATATTAACAAAATATTGTATTGGTATTGGTATTGGGTCTAAAATATTGGTATTGGTTTAAACAATATTTTCTATTTCTTGTATTGGTATTGCTATTGGTATTGGTTTATATTGGTAACTATTGGTTTATATTGGTATTGGTTTAAATTCAAATTACTAATTAAAAGAATAGAAATAGTGATTATAAAACCCTTAAATTTTAAATAAACATGGGAAAAAAATCATGATACCGCTAAGAACCAACTCTCAAAATTTTACTGAATTCAAATTCTTTTTTTAAACTAGGAATTTATTAGGTGATGTGAATATAAAAAAATTTGATTTAATCATGTATTTTTTGTATCAACAATAATAAACGTATTGATTTTGAACCATTTTATTTATCACAAAGAACATAGCTAAATAAGTAAACTAAAAATGTAACATAATTGTCTATTTATACAAAATATAATGCAAAATAATGATATAATTTTAATATAAGAAGAGGAAATAATTTTATGTATTTAAGAAGAATCTTGCATGTGCATCCAACTTTTTAGGCACAGGCAAGCTTGTATAGTATGCTCATCTAGTGAACAACATTGGTATGTTATAACATACCGTCCTTCTGAAAAAGCCCTTTCAGAGCTAGATGAGGTGGCCGGAATTGCTAGATAATCTCTGGCAATTTTTGATAATACTGGATATCTATTTTTATTTAATTTCCACCAATGGATTTGTATCATTGGAAATTGTGGTTTCATCTACGTATTTACTTATTTCTAAGTTGTTATTATTATGAGGTTTCACCTGATAAATTTTGTCATAAAAGGATAATTTTTTGTTATTTTGTGCTTCATTTGTAAGTTCCGCTGAATTGTTATTATTTATTTTATAAATATTGTATTCATTAGTAAGATATCCAATAAGAGTTTCCATATTATTATGCTTTAATAAATGACTTGATAGTTTAAATCTTGGGTCAATCATTGTTGAAATAATAAAGAGGTGTTTATTATAATTATAGTATTTATTAAGTTTTGTTAAGGCAGCTAAAGAAGCTGTTTTTAAAATAGCATTAGGATTATTATTATAACTCTCCACATGCTCAAAAATACTGGAATATAAAGGAATAATTGTTGTTGTTGGAGTATTAGCACATGAGGCCATCTCTGTAGAAAAATTAAATGGTTCCAGAAATTCTCCGTATATTTCTATATTATTATAGGCTAAGGCACTAATATAATTTTCTTGATTGGTATTTTGTAAATGATTGGTATATGTTGTCAAATATGGTTTGAGCAATATTGCTCTTTCAAGCATTTGGTATGTTGAATTCCAACGTGTTGGTATATCCAAAATTGGGTGGGGAAATTTTAAGTGTGGATTTTTTTAAGATATATTTTTTCGAGTTTATTAAATTTAGATATAGAAAGTTTAAAAATTTTAAAAAATTTCTTATTTTTTTTAAAGTTGTATTTAAGGGTTCCAATGCAGCCATGACAGCCAAATGTATAATATGGCAAAAGCATTTGCACACATCAAAATTATCTTTTTGTTTTAAAATTTTTAGAAATGCTAAATTATTACTTGCATTGTCTAATGTAATGCAAAAAAAAATCAATTTCAAATTTTACTTTTAATACAGAATTAAAAATATTAATAGAATTATGTGCTGATTTAAAAGGAATAAAATCTAATAAATGATTATTTAATTTAAAATCATTATCAATATAATGAATTGTTATGCCCATAAAGCGTATTTTATTTGGAGAGGACCAAATGTCCATTGTTAAGGAAAATTTAGATGTAATGTTAGAAAGTACAGATTTTAAATTGATAAAAGAACTATGATAATGTTTCATAATTTCTATTTTTAGTGTTTTTCTAGAAACTAATGTTAGTGAAGGGTTACAAATATGCTATTAAATTTTTAAAAGTGATATCCTTAACTATTGAAAAGGCTAAATTATTTTGAATGAAAAAGTTTATAATTAAATTATTTAAATTAGCTTTATTATTTATATTATTAAGTAAAAATGATTTTATTGTCTTAATTTTTTTACTGTTAATATTTATTTGCTCACATTTCTTAAATAATGTTGGGTGGATGGATTTAAGATGTGTCCATAATCCTGAGGTTCCAAAATTGGGAAGTGATATTTTTTTTAAACATTTATTACAAATTGCCTTTTTTTATTATCACAAGTAGTACAAAATTCCCAGATTTTTGCTGAATTTCGTCTTTTATTAGATATTGATAATTCTTCTTGTTCCTTATCGCTATTATTATTAGTACCAACAGCATCTATATTTATTAACTCTAATTGGTCTTCATTTATTATTATTAGTGTTGTTAAACGGCTCGTTTTGAGCCGATTTTTAAAAACGGCTAACTCAATATTTCATTCAGAAAAATATTACTCAAACCTGAAGATTTTACTCATAGTAGGAACAAAGGTCTAGACATATATTAACAAAATCTCGAGGCTTAGGCAATATTTTTCTGGCTAAAATATTGAGTTACCCGTTTTTTAAAATCGGCTCAAAACGAGCCGTTTAACAACACTAATTATTATATCCTAAATAAATAGATAAAATTGATAGATATCATGTAAAAAATTTACTTCCACAATAAAAATAAACTAATTATAAATAACAGAAATATTGATATCACAGTAGTATTTGGAAGAAATAACAGATGTAATCAGTTTTTGCAATGAAAGTAAAAAAAATACCACAATAAACCCAAATAATTATGTTATTTTTAATATTGGTAATGGTATTGGTTAAAATTATATTTAAACAATATATCAAAACCAATATATTTAGGTAATTGGTATTGGTATTGGTTGTAAAAGCAATACCAATATTTAAATATATATTAGTTTATATTGGTATTGGTATTGTAAACCAATATTATATTGGTATTGGTCCCATCCCTATTCACTCATAAAGGGCATGACTAAAATACACACCCTCGGAAACTACACGCCCCCTATCAAAGATGAATAATTTAAAAATTACATTGATATAGAATCATATTTAGCTTAATTAGGTGATTTAGAAAATTTTTTATTTTGTAAAAAAATGATAACATAGTAAAATTTTAAAAGATATTTTTTTACCATGCCCCTACGCGCCGTCATACGTCCTCTTATCAAATATGCTTAATTCATAAAAAAAATGAACGAATAATCATATATAGCCTATTAAAAGGAATCAAAAAATGTTAATATTATATTAAAATTTTTTTTTATAACTAAATGGGCTTTTGCAAAAAACACTTATTTTTTTTAACTAAAATACGCGCCGAATCATGTTTAGCTTTTCAAAGAGATTCAGAAATGGTAGTATTCAAAAAAAATGTATCACATTTCTAAGTCTTTCTTTTCAAATATTTTGATTTTTTTTTTGAACATTACAAATAAATTATATAAAAAACAGGTTATAGAGTAATCACTTCTATAGGAAGTTAAGAAGCAATAAATATATACCACGTATTAAAACAGGGAATTTAGTTGATGTTTAAAGAATAAGTTAAATATTTTTTGGATAATTAAAATTTTTTTTAAAATAAATAATTAATACTACCATTTTCTGATCTCCTTGAAAAACTAAACTTGATTCTGTACTCATTTTTAAAAAAAATAATGTATATACACCGAGGGCGCCTAGTTCAGTCAAAAAAAATGTGTTTTTTAAAAAGCCCACTAAGTTATAAAAATTTTTAAAATATAATAACATTTTTTGATTCCTTTTGATAAGTTTGATCCCGCGTTCATTTTTTATATATTAAGCTTCTTTGATAGGGGGCGCGTAGGGGCACATATTTTAGTCATGTAAAAAATATTTATTTTTAAATTAAAAAAAATCATCTAATTAAGCTAAATACGATTTTGTATTAATGTAATTTGAATTCTTTGATACGGGGGGCGTAGTTTCCTGGGGCGCGTATTTTAGTCATGCCCCTCTTATATATTTTATATTTTCCAATATTTTATTATTTGTATGACTGGTTCTAATAAATTTTATGTGATGATTAGTTCTTATATATTTTTAATGTTCCAAAGTAAACACTATAATATAAAGCTAGATTCATAGGAATTGGGATTCATATTTTAGTAAAAAAAAGGAGGTATTTGTTCAATATTTTAATCATTTATCACTTAAAAATTTTTTTTTTGAATCATAATTCTATTAAATTAATGCATAATTAGTGAGGATTCGCAGGTTCACTGTTATTCGTATTTAAGTCTTGCCAATTATGATGTGATATAACTTGATAAAATTAGTCATTTATATTCTTGATCTTATAAATTTAAACAAAAATTATAATTTTGGATAAATTTGAGCTGATATTCATCATAGGAAAGAATCATTTGAATTCCTACAATTTTTAATATGTTTACAGTTATATTCCACGTAAAACCTCCAGTTTTTCAATTTGAAGTGACATTTGATGAAAAAATACCTCAAGTACATACAATATATATCTCATTATTAAGCAAATCCTCCCCTTCTCCACTGAGCCAATGGCGATTTTACTCCCCCTACCCTTTAAGATTAGCATTAAAAAAAAGGAAATTTAAATCAAATTAGTAACAATAATAAAGGAAATCTAAATTAAAATTAACAAAAAAATGAATTCCAAATAGGCATACTCTCCTGCATCTTTAAAATTCATTTACCCCCTCCCTTTCTCCTTTATTGTAATGACGACAGTCTTCATAACTCCTTACCCCTCTCCCTAGATTTCAATGTTGTTGTTATATCCCCTCCCCCTGGTAGAATTGCCTGAGTATTTATTATACATAATATTTAAGCAATTAGTATCACCTTTGTTAAATCTAACAAATTAAACTTTTCATTTGCCGTACGTTTTTAACCAAAAAATTCGACTTTTTAATAACTTTAATTCTTCAAACGTTGGTAAAATGTGATAGTCTTTTTAGGAAGAAATTATTTAATATTACTTTGAAATCACCACATAATTTTCACCTGACTATTATTACTACTAGTGATCTGCATCGGGCCTAATTTTTCAAGTCCGGCCCGAAATTTTTTTTAAAAAATTTACCGACCCAGCCCGGCCCGAATTTATTTAAATATAGAAATTAATCTTTATAATTACTCAAAATAAAAGACATATGTTATATGTCGTTTAGTTTTAATAATTAAAATCAAATATTTTTATTTTACATAAAAAATTGAATATAAAATTGATAAATTTAGATTTATTTAAAAAAATTTCCAAGATCCGACCTGACCTGGCCCGAATTAATAGAATTAGGCCCTAGCCCGGCCCGAAGCCCGTTTGGTCTAGGCCGGTTACGGGCCGGGCCTAACTTTGCAGATCTCTAATTACTACCACTGGAGTTTCAATTTATTTTTTCAGTTGATTGATCCATTTTCCTTATTGTTTTATTTTCTTCTAATAGTTTTAGTTCAGTTTCTATTTTGAGAGGCAAGGTACCCTTCTTGCTAGTAGCGCGATAGGTTTCGTATTTTTTTCTAATTGTACTTTTACTGGTTCTTTGTTTTTTTAATCAATCCTATATTTTCATCTAATACCTTAGCGATATTTATATAGTTTTTTCAATATTAATGTTAACATCATCTTTTCACGTTGATATTATTATTCGTAGGATAGTTATTAAAACTTTAAACTGGTTTTTTGGCATATGTTTTATTATATTTTATACAGTCGACTATAATTATCATTTTGATTCATTCGGTTATTATTATTGTATTTTGTCATTTCCTTTATTTTATAACCATTTTTATATTGTTTATTTCTAATTCTGCTAGTAGAACCATTTCTAATACTTTATAAACTCAAAGGTTGATCTCCGTTTCTAGTATCTGTTAATTGTAATTTTTTTTTATCTATTTGAGATATATTTAATCCAGCAATTGATTGATCGATATATCTATAATCCAGCAATTGATTGATCACGAATGCACAGTTGTATTTGTCCTCAAATTCACATCTGCGAGCTAATTTCTTTATTTTTTTTAAAATAGTCCATAGCTTCTGTTGGTTGGCGACTTTTAATAAAATCTATTATTTCTTTCATCTTCTAAAAGTTGTTTCGCATAGCAAAATCTCTCCATGTGAGCCTATTTTTAAAAACGGATAACTCAGTTATCCAGAAAAGCATTACGCAAGCCTGAATATTTTGCTCATAGATGGCACAAAGGTTTGGACATCTATTAGCGAAATCTCGAAGCTTAGACACAATTTTTCTGGCTAAAATAGTGAGTTAGCTATTTATAAAAATCGGCTCAAATGGAGCCGCAATTATATTGCCCATAATGCGTCGTTTATTTTCTTCTTAAATTATATTTTTTATATCGGTTATTATATTAATTCCCTAATAAGCTACAAAATTTTTTTTCAATGTTGTTTCTGTTTGCAATATATTCTTTACATTTAATATAATATGGTCTAAATATCATCTAAAGATTTGAAATTCGTTTATTTATATTTTTGGGATTTTATTTAATTCATCTCCAATTTCTTAATTCTTGTCTATTTTATAATTTGTAGCATATAAATTACTCAATTTACAATGGCCTCCTATAATTAATCTAAAATGATATTTTATAATATTAAACAATAACTTTATATTCAAATAGTAATAATGTATTACAAATAAGTTAAGTTTTATAAGATATAATACGATAATCTTTATAACATATTCTAAATTTATATGCTTAATGACTATCATTGATACTTGGGCACCTTCCTAAATATATGGTAGACAATACCTGAATATAAACTGATTCCGCTTTTTTTTTTAGCTAATACCAATTAAGTTAATCCCAAAACAAATTTTAAAAATTAAAAATAAATTAAAACTTTTTTTTTTTGGTTTTATTTGCTTTTCTTCGCTTTATTTTTCTGTAATTTTTGGATAAGGCTCACTGATATCGATTAAAATTGGAAATATCGGTTTATGACTGAGATCTTAAGTATTGGTATCTCTGGAAAATAAGATTTGTTTTCTTGTTAACGGTCATTATCATAAGTAGTAGTATTTAAATTTTTTTTAATGGTTTATATTAAACAAATTAAATTTACCTATGCAAATTTTCCCAAAGATAATAATACTAGAAGGAAGTTATTGGAAGAGAAGGCTCGACACAGTTATAGCTGAATATAGAAAGTGGCGGGTGACTATGCGAGAACGCATGATATTTCATCACAAACTGGAATTTACAAAGGTTTCGTAAATTCTCTCATGTTTAAAAAATTTATATTCGATTGGCATTTACACATCTATATTATATTTGATATATATATATATATATTAGAGATCGGCAGGGAAAAGCTAGATAATTTTATGGGCCAGGCAAATCATGCAAAATATTTAAAAAAACCAAGCTGGTCTAAATTTTTATAATAATAAAAATAATCCATAGACTAATCCTTTTTCTGGCTAGGCCTGAAAACGCTTATAAAAATATGAATGGTTCTGCACTAGTCCGTGCTGATCTTTTTAATATATAAAACCTTTTATTTATAGTTCAATCAAATATTTCGATGAATAATCACATGCCAATTTTTTTTAAACTATAATTTCATTAATTGAAAGAGATATATCTTGTTCAAAATTATAAATTTGTCTTTTTATTTGTATTATTTTTTTTAAAGTGCACGTTTAAACTGGATCACAAGTTACCAAATATATTAAAAGTATATTTTTAACTCAATTATATATTTTTTAAAATTATCAAAATTAAATTAGCTTCAATAAGATACTTATTAAATTTTATAAAAAACAATTATAATAGACTTCTAATATAATGCACCAAACCGTAAGTGGCAAGAGGTCTCACATCTTAACTAATACCTTATTGAAAAGACCCTCTATTCCTCTCCAACTTCAAAACTATTTTCATCAAGGTCGTAAGAGTAGCACATAAATATTTATCTTATGAAAGAATTTTATAATTTGGTTATTTTATATGATTATTAAATTATACTGATATCTAAGAAAAATTTCTCTTCCTTCTTTATTTATAGTCGACGACATAACAAACATGAATTTAAACGTAAAACCAACCCTAGTAGACCATTGCCGTGCCAAAACAAATCTGCAATCTTCATCCGAATACTATATCCAAAATGAAATCAAAGACTTCATCAATTTTGGGGATTACTCGTCTTACCCACTTTCCGATGATATATTGAATTCTGATCTAAGTCTAACCAACTCCCCATTTAACGTTAACGATTTTTGTGATTTTTATAACGCGTACGATATTCAAGATTTGTGCGATAATAATGATATTGGGTCTCTCGGCCTGGATCAAGATGTTGGTAAGGAACCGTTTTTGCCTTTACTAGAAGGAAGTAAGCTGTCAGGGAAAGAGAATCATTTTTGCACTTCTAGCGGGTCTATCAGCAACCTTAACATCAATCCTAAAAGTAATAATAAAAAACTTAAAAATGACAACGAATCTCAATATCGTATCAAGCGAAGCGTCAATAACTCATCTAACATCGATTATGATATCCAGGAAGCTCGATTCAATTTCATATCTCGGAACTTCATTCAACCGGGTCTGACTAAAATTCATCCCAACTCCGGATCTTACATGGACACCCTCGAACCATTGGCCGAGATAGTTAAAAGTGCCAAAAGATCATATCAGCACATTTTGGAAAATGCTTGCGATAACAATAGCGCTAATTTTGGCTATAACGATTTTGACACGCTAAAAGCGGTCAAAAGCGCCGAGAATAAAGGCTTAATAGCCTCTAAATCTCATTTTACTCCTTATCACGACGATAGCTTGCCCATAATATCTGATCATTCAAAATCGATTAATTCATCTACAATTGAGAGTCAAACCATAGAATCGAATCCCAAAATTTCTGATGAATTTTCTACTTTGTGCTTAAAAAATGTTTCCTCTTATTTTTCCCAAGTTTTGATGCCCCCTCGCAACTCTCCGATTCCTTCTACAATTTCTCGTTCTATTCCTCATATCATGTACACCTCAAATATGAAGAACGATGCTGTAACCATCTCTAATCTCAATCATGCCATCGATGTCGAAAATTACAACCATACATCCTCGACCTTGACCCAGGCTAATCTTCCATTTATGACTTCAGTCGCTACCGGAAATGTCACATCACAAACCTTTTCCCCCCAGCAAACTTCGTATGTCCTTTGTCTTTTGCCTTCCGATAAAATAACCTCGACTCTAACCTCAAATCAAATTTCTTTCTTGGCACCTACTCCTCTTACGAGTTTCTCTACGTTTAGGGAGGTATCCGATGACGATTCCGGCATAACTTTGGCAGAAAATATGAGCGGAGAGTTAATTTTGATCAATGGAAATACCTTGCAAGCCAATCACCGGTTCGCTCATCAAGCTCCTATATTTGTCTTAGTAATTTTGACAAAAAAAAATAATAGTTGTTAAATGAATTGCTTAACGTTTTCAATAAAAATTCTTAATTAAGTATACTCATTTCACATATACACATTGATTCCAGCCGGTATTATTATGGGCTGATAATCCTCATTTTTACCAATACTGCTAGACAATATTAAATTAATTTTTTCAGATTGTTATTTTAAAAAATTTATTTTATTAATTCTTTTATTTTCTCATATATCTAAATTCAAAATTACTAACATTAATAATTCAGGTAAAAAAATCTCTTGTTGATAATTTAAAAAAATTAATCATTTACCTGCTTTAAATTTCTTACATTTTAATTATTAAAAATTAATATGAATGAATTAAATTAAAAAAAATATTGTCAAGTATTTTCATTTGACAAAACTTTTAAATATTTATTTGAAAAGATTAATCTTTTTTTTGAATATATGTTTTCTATTTCCCCCAATAAAAAAATAAAGACTACATAATTTCTAAAGTCCTTAAAGTAACAAGGAATTTGCGAAAAAAGTATCGGTACAGCTCCGATTTTATATTGCCAATATGCTGTTTTTTAAGCTCTATAAATCTCTTATTTAAACTAGTATGGATATATCGAATTTAGGTTTTTGGCCATATTATTAGTTCTTAGTCTAGATCTAATTTTTACCCGGCTATGTTCCTCTATTGTAAGGTATTGGCAGACCCGCCAAAAGTTGTCAGATACTTATTAAAAATTATGTTAGTATTTATTGTTTAGTTTTAAAAAAATATCCATGAAAATAAGAGAAAAGGTTTATCTATTTCTAGTATTATCTGTCCACAGATGATGTTAAAATGCGCAAACCCATTCTTTTTATTATATAGCTTGGATAAATCCTTGTGTGTTATCGACAATAAGTGTAATACACGTATTTCCTGATTCCCATATCATGTAATTCTTTTATATAAATTAAAAATAATTAGAAAATTGATGATCAATTTGTCAGAAATTTATAGGATATATATTTCTTTACATATTAGAATGTACATTTTTGGAAAAAATCAAATATTTGAATTTAAAAAACGCGCTCAACCAAGTTATTTCACTATTTTTCCAACTTTAAATCATATTTTTAACGTGTAAATTTAAAAAAATAAATCCGCTTTTTCCGAAATGTATTCGATCTGTATAAGAAATCTACCCTATACATTTCAAACGATAGCGTAAGATACCCCACATATTGCCTTATCACCCACAGAGCCGGAAATTAACATATGTTCATCACATTCGCAACACTATATACACTGTCTATTTAATCACAAATATTTAATTTAATATAAATGTTTCAAAGTGAAATCGAAATATAAGAAGCGAGTGAATCATAAATGATTCATTATGCTTGCAACTGGGTTAATTGTTATATAATTTAATTTTATTTTTAAGGATGAGATCCAGCCCTGGTTTTGCTATTTTATTAAAATTTTTAATATTTATTGATCATCTACAGAATACGCCATCATCTATATCGAATTCGCAACTACAACGAGTCATGTTGATGCAAGATCCCACAATTACTGCTAACAAACATATTTCGAATTTTGAACGTTCAACTTCGAATATCGCCTCTTCGTCTGATATAATCACTTGGTCTTCTCGCCTGAGTCATTACAGAAAAATAGCACCTGCTAGTCAATTAAATAAACCTTCTTCCTCTTTCAATTATAACAAAGATAGTTTTACTTTTAGCAATAATAATAAAGACCTAATGAAAACCAATCTCATTCACAATTTCAAACATTTAAATCCTCCTTTGGAACATGATACCTCGAATAATAAATTCCGACTTTACAATGAACCACGACATGTAATTCACTATATTTTAAATTTATATACCCACGTATAATGTTAAAATGCTCATCCAACTCGGTTTTAGTTTTATTTTAAAATTTTATGCTAAAAATAAATATTATTTATTTTTTCACTAGTCTAGTAGTGGCATCGTTAAGGAGGGCAAATGCCAAAATGTTTTATGATCACACCTATGAAGTGGTCTTGGTTTGAATATATATTAAATCTTAATCACAAGATTTTATACATATGATCCGATTTTTTTTTCTATCCTAAACTATTTTTAGAAAGTTACGAGTGAATCGCCTATAGATATTACCGGAATAGATAGCTTGCAAAAAAGACGTCGATTTGGCCACGTCAATGCCGAACACAAAAGGAGATGTTGTATCAAAGTTTCTAAATTATATTTTGAAAGATAAAAAAGACAAATTATCTAAATAATCGGAGTTATTGTCCTTTGCTAATTTTCTCCTCATATTTAATAGACTTTATTAGGATACATAATATTATTTTTTTTGGTATCACGCGTGCTCAAGATATTATGATGCATATATAAATTAAACACGATTTAATTATTATGAAACTGGTTGTGATAAATAATTTAGAATATCGCCATTAAAGCCAATTTGTTATAAGTTCTTATGATATTTCTGTAATATGATCATAGTTTACTATATTTATTTTAGATACTTTATTTGACTATTATCATACCATTATTTTAACACCTATTTGTAGATGACAATTTATCTTTCATTTAACATCCTATTACGAAGCCATTATTACTTTTTCTTTTTAAATTTTTTTCGTTATTTAAAAATAATGATTTATTTAAATATAATAATTTAATTTGTGATTAATGATTAATGATGGCTTTGGAATAATGTCGGCTTGGTAAGGGAATAAACATAAAATACCACCTTTTTCGTTTGAATTTTTTATAGTTATACATTACAATTAATTTAGCCATCCTTAATTTTATTTTTTATAGAGTGGATTTGATGCTCTCTTATCAACTGTACCTTGGTTTTATCACGGTGCTAACACTAAAGCTAGCAAAGTAGCCATTTTAAGTCATAGTAAGTTTTGGATAAATTACAATTTACACATTATTATTTTTTATAACTCATTATTAATTTAAATTTAAATCTTCACCTAATTGTAAATTATAACTAAATAAAAATTTAGCCGCGGAATACACGAAACATTTACGACGTAAAATAACGGAAAGTTACGAAGAATTAAGTTCACTTAGAATGCAAATCGCGGCTCTGAATCGTGAAATAGGGTATTTTATTTTAGCACGATTTAATTAAATGCGATTTATACACATTTTAGAAATTTTATTATCTTTTAGTTTAATCGTAAAAGTCGAAAATTTGATATTAAATTTAGTCGACTCACATACAGCCATCAATGAAATTAATTTTAAAATTTATTAAAATTCATATATAAAATGCTAATTTCAGATTTTGAAATAAATGGATAATTAATTGTAAAAGGATATACTTTAATTTTATTTGAAATTTAAATGGAATACTATTAGCTATTTAGGTTTTATTTCTCTTATTTAGAGCCTAATATTTCCCCTTCATTTAATATGTGATCATGGTAACAGATTAAATACATTGAATGATTTATTAATTTAGTTTTTTATATATATACAAGTCATTACCAATCGTGTCTAACTAGTGATACAGATAACGGACCATTAGATTCAGATACCATTTACAAATCACCGCCCTTAACTTTAGAATCCTACTTGGCCAACGAAAAGCAAATTCTCGAAAGAAATTTCGAGAAATATTTGGAAAACAAATGCACTCAAAATTGGAAATTTTACATAGTTAGTTAAATTATATAACGATTCATTTAAATATGTTAGCTTCAATGTGTTGGCCTGGATTTGAAAAAGGGATCATTATAATTCCTGGGCCTGCTATGATTTAATTTTTTTATATTCAAGCCTGGTCCGGAATAATTTTCTTATTTTTGAATAATTTGGCTTTGCAAATTGTTTAGAAGGAAATTGGAAATATGAGCAGTAAATCAATATTGAAACGCTATTATAATATTTTCCCAATGCAATTGAGATAATTTAAAATTTGTAAGCTTATTCTGGATATTTTGAACCCAGACCGGGTCTGGAGATATTTGATTAAAACAATTAAAAGTTCCACAGGGTGTTGAAATATATCACTTTACAGATAATATTTAAAATTATAATTTTATTCCTTCACCAACCAAATAACTGCCTTAAAAAATTACTCAGGCAAGGGAATTTTTCAAACCAATGAAATGAAAATCATATAAAGAACTCCTCTGTTTTTTTGTTCATTTTATGACTTAACTGAGATTAATATTATTTTTTTATGCTAACTTGAACCAATATGTGCCACGAGCGAATCTTTCATAAAAATGTTGGTCATTATATTCTTAAAATTTTCCATTCTAGAAACTTATACCCACCTCTCAAATTCATCAATATAAATAGCAGGAGAGGAACTGTTTTTTCTTTCGTTAAAATAGTAAAAGTAGGATTTATTAAACTGTTGAAAGTTTTCGACAGAATATCTATGAAAATTATTTAATGCATGGATTGGATAAGAGATTCTTGAAACATACATTAAAAGTTATATAGTGAATGCATTGCAGCAATTTTTTTTAAGAAATCTTTGTTTGAGCTTATATAATTTAACGATGCACAGTTTAGATAAATTAAGTATTTTTGTTGAGAATTTTTTCTAAATTTCACATATACAATTTTTTAAAATTAATCAGTAAATTTTTGGCGTTTCATTTATATTGTTGATAATGATTTTATTTATATGAAAAAATTTCCCGTCCGCAAAGCTTGCATACTCTTTAGGCCTCTCCCATTATAAAATACTACTGGATCGTTCGATAGAAAACATTAAAAAAATGAGAATAATATGCTAAATAGTTTACACATCTATCAATAAATATTCATTAGTTTTCCCTCTTTTCCCGCCCTTTTTTCACCGCGTATAACGACTATGTTTCTACCTCATCCATTCAAGAGCTGTGTTCTTCTGTCACGACATGGTTGGATCAATTTTTTACTTTGCCTATCATGCGTCCAGGTACAAAAAAATATATTAAACCATTATATATGGTCAAGCATAATTGACGTTTTTTACAGTAAAACCTCGTTATTTTAGTTAGCTTGGGTATTTAAGATACCTGATAGACAATATCTCATTTTATAGAAACTTACGGTGTTTTAAAATAATGCGTTTCCATAAAAAGCAAATGTTTATGACTCATTTCGCCGCAAATATTTGATTTACTTTGATGTTGTTTGAGGTATAATTTAATATTTAAAAAAAATTTTGGTTGATTAAATTATTATTTTTTATTTAATAAATTTGCATCAGCTTCATGAGCTGTAGGTGCGGTTACGATTTATTTGCCTACAATTTTTATAAGGGGGAAGGGGTAAGCTTTCAAAAATCATAAGGGAAAGTAAAATAAACAATAGGGGAAACCAGGGCCAGTCGGAACAATTTTTGTCAAAATCATCATAGGTCTTAAATTAACTGTTGTATTTGAATTTTTAAAATACTATGAGATAGCCCAACGACTTACCTAACCTTATATATTGATAAATTTTTTAAATATTTTATACTTTTTTCTCAAGACTGATCTATTAAAGGTGAATTTTTAAGCCAACAGCATCCCATAGGATAATAATAATTATTATTTCATTATTTTCATGGACAATATTTTAGATAAAAATATACTATTTACATAAAAATAATTCATATAAAAATGGAAAAATATGACGTTTGAATTATAAAAAATGTGTAAAATTTTATTTTTTCTAATTCCATTGCATTATTATTGAAAAAATATATTTTAGTAGCCATTGAATACTTATTTAATTATAATAAATCATATTTGTAATATAATTGATTCGACTGACCCTGGTTCTACTAACCCTAACTAACATAATTGTATGATTTTAAAACTTTCTGAAATGCCAAAAGAGGGTTTTAAATTTCATATAATGTTAATTTTGTTATCTTCATATTTTAATGCCACCGAATATTATAGTGTAATGATTTTATATATAAAACACATCATTAAATTTTTTTAACTAGTGGTATAAAATATTTTTCTCCTCAAATGCTATTACATAATTAAATTTGCATTTCTAAACATGTCTGGTTTTTAAATAAAATCCGATGAACCGACTCCTGGTCTCCAGGTAATTGTATAGAAGGATTCTATTTTAATAAATATATATTTAATTTTCTGCTGAATATAATTTTAAAATCATTAATTCGCAAATAAGATTTTAATAGTTTGACTTACACGCAGGAAAGTGAACCCTTCGACAAAAAAATGGTCGGTCCGGGTTCGCAGTAATAAAATTTAAAAAGGGTCCGAGTTTAGGGAACATAAAAACTCAAAATAAGATTTTTTTTCATTCTTTTATTATTATACTTCAATATATGCACATTCATAATTTGCAAATAAAAAATGAAATAGTTTATATTTTAAATGTTTTATTCAATCGCACAATCATAATATCTTCTAAAATATCCTTAAGATTTCCACGTAAATAGGATAATATATATTTCAAAGATGAAATTCCACGTTTTACGCTTAAGTCATGACGATTCTATACAAGATATATAATCCTGGATATATTGAAGAATTTTCTTCCCATAATTATAAAATATCCTTATTTATTCTCTTAACTTCTGAGAACTTTTCCATTAAAGATGCAATGGGCATTTTTGATCCTGCTTTCTATCTGATGATAACTTTATTTTTTTTCTCTATCTAAAAGTAAGATTTCATCATCAATGTCGCTATCATTATCATTATTATCACTACAACCAGTAGGTATTATCGTAGCCTCCAATATATTGTAAATAATGGAGTTTTGCGTATGTCATAAATCCTTAAGGTGGTTTTAAGGTTTTTGCTCAATACTCAATAAAACTTATCGAGGGTCTAAATATATAGAAGAGTATACAACGCTATTTTTTAAATATTGCTGCTTCGAATTTTTATGTTTCCTAATATAAATTTTTCTAAATCGAATCGGCATCTAATCCATATGCCATAAAAATCATATAAACATAATTGTTCTGATTATAATCTTAATGTTTTTATTTTTAATTCACTACAAAATAATTCCAAAGATTTCACTTTCAAATCAAATTAATCAGAGTATTTCAATATAAGAGCAGAGCATATTAATAAATTATCATTTTTATTAAAATATTATTATTTGCACATAATTCACTTTCAAAATAATCAACGTATTTCTATAACATAGTATATTAATAAATTTACATAATAAATAATTATTACCTACACTAGAAAATAATTTATGATATCAATCTCTAAATAAAATGGAAGTCCAGGAAGAAAATTGATAGAAAAACGCGAAGATAAAATAAATGATTCCACAAAAAAAGTTATAATATAATTTAAAAAAATAAAATTTTTATGACACCTAGACTAGAACCCTTGGACCCTCCACTTTTAAAAAGGGATCGGGTACAGCCAAAATATGAGGGTTACACGCTTGGGACTAATTTAGAGTTGTTAAACGGCTCGATTTATAAAAACGGCTTACCCAATATTTTAGCCTAAACTATCACGCAAGCCTAGAGATTGTGCATATTTAAGGTAGATAGGTTTGGACATCTTAAGAAATCTTGAGGATTACATAATATTTTTTGGCTAAAATATTGGGTTAGCCGTTTTTAAAAATCAAGCCGTTTAACACTACGATTATTAACAATCTTTTTATTTATTCCAAAATTAGATGCATGAAAGAATTTCGATTATGATTGTTAGATGGAAGTTGTAAATTCCGGTTCAATTAATTTGGATAAAATATATAAATAATATTATACGGATTTTTTTTTCAATTATCATCGATATAGCATTTTTAGGGGAGTATAGAGGTATTTTTTTGAGGGTGAAGGAGGGCTCCCGAATTTTCTCTTGTGGATATTTTGCTTTCCGCAAATAGACAATAATTTGGTTGTTAACTAAATTTTCTCTTCCCTCGAAAATTAACTATAACGAGGTTTTACATGGTATGGATGGAATGTTTATGCATCATCATCACAAATCCTAAGTTTTTATAATTATATGAAAAAAATCTGCTTAAACATTTTTTTAAATATGAGTTATTTACGTTCTTTAAATTTTAAAAATAGATTATTAAATATTTTTTGGATTATTATCAAGCTTTGAAAATAATTTACACTATAAATTTTTTCTGCGTTAATTGAACGTTAGCAACATATAACATTTATATATTCGTTTGGTAAGAAGAATATAGCTTTTTTTAAAAATACTATCTTTTATTATTTATAAATTTCTTATAGTTGCGTCAAAAATTTTAGTGGAGCTCAGTACTAAAACATCGATATTGACATCACCAAACGAATTCAGTGATCAAATAAAATCATTAATATTGCGCTCTTACACCAATTCATAAATTTTACATGTAGTATTAAAAATTATATTTTTCTCAGTTGATTTTTATACATTTTAATTTATTCGAATACAATATTTTTAGAATTTATTTGATATATTAAAATAAATAATGGTGCTTTGTTATGTTTAAAATTCATAGCTTAATTTTTTGTGATTTTTTTTATCACGGTTTAAAATAAATAATAATAAATTTGATAATATCTCAATTAATTAATGATATATTTTAAAAAATATTAATATTTTTTTTCTACCACTTAATTTAAATGTGGAAATTGGGCAAGTGAAAATTTGTTAATTTATCTATTAAGATCATATTGCAAAAACTTCAGCATATACAATTTTATATTTTAAATATATCTATAATTTAACAAATAATGAAATCGATACTGCATGATAAATTTTTATGCAAAAATTTGGTAAGATTCCAAACCAAATTTGACCCATTCAAAAATAGGAGTCGTCAGATTATGTTACGAAGGGAGCCCATTTTATTTAAGCCTAGGATCTGATATACGCCTCATTCTTTCGTAAAAAATTATAAAGGGCCGTGAAAAAAAATATTTTAAGGACCATTTCACAAAACCCGATCTAATTCCACCGGTCGATCTGCACCTGCCTCTAAGTTATACACTTTAAAACAATTGCTCACATAAATATTTCTTTAGAAAGATTATTTTCGTCATTTGGAATGGTTCATTCTAAAACCTAGAAATAAGCTGGGTGCTCAAAATAGCAGGAAAACTAATTTTACTATTTAAAAAAATTAATTCAAATTCTGAGTCATAATAAACATTTTGATTTAAAATATGTTATTTGAAAATGTTATTATATCCAAACAATTGTCATTAAATTTTTTAAGGTGTATAGTAAATAGAAATTATAGTTTAATTAAAATAAAAAAAAACAAATGTTTTTGAAATGAGATAGTACTAATAATAAAAATAAAAATTTTATGAAATGTTTGTAAAGGCTGCCTCATGCAATTCGTTTATCGGTGAAAATTCTTATTTTATAAATAATTTTTAAAATACGCACTTTAATGACTTAACCAGTCGAAAATAATTGGTGAGGCTACTCTTAGATAAAGCTTTTAGATTTATTCTGGAAATTAGTAAGGGTAATCCGATTTAATTCATAAACATTTATTTAAAAAAAAATAAACACATGCCAAAGTGCTGCATTATCTCACTACATAAAACATATATTTACATTAATTATTATTAGCTCATGATGTGCTATCTATAAAATGGCAACAACTACAATTTGCAAAAGAGCTCTAAAGTATCCCATGTTGAAGACATAATTAAACAATTTTGGCTAAATAACTAAAGTTTTTAAATATATTTCAACCGTTTGCTATTCGTTGTATAGGGGATAGGAAATAATAATCTTTATAAAAATATATTCATGTTGAAGACATAATTAAACAATTTTGGCTAAATAACTAAAGTTTTTAAATATATTTCAACCGTTTGCTATTCGTTGTATAGGGGATAGGAAATAATAATCTTTATAAAAATATATTCAATCGTGATGTAATCCAATATCTTCTCTTACCATATGATAAAATTAAAAACATGTTTGAAATATAGCAAAAACTTATCCTACCCCTAAGGTCAAGGCGGACATCTTGCGAATTAATTCATTTAGATATAATAAAAGAACTAAGATTTCTCGGGGTAATAATCGAGCCATTTCGCTGATATAATAAAAAAAATTCAATTTATCACATTTTTTTAAAAATGTATTTGGGTGCTCTTAGTGCTAAAACATTGTTAATATAGTTAATTCATTTGTTAAATTCAGGCTTATTAATCGATCTTTTTAAAAGGATCGAATCTCGATCACGATCTGCTAAAAAAAAATAGCGAACTTTTAAAAAAAATGTATGCTCGATGCAAAATTAATATATATATATAAATAAATTAAATATAATTTAAATTTATTGTAATGAAATAATATAATTAATAATAATATTCATATATTTATTTATAATCAAAATTAACCATTAAATAATAAAAAATTAATCATTCCAACATCCACGTCTTTCATTAATAACCTACTTAAATTTACTAAACAAGCTCCTGTGGTGCGATTGATAGCAAGTTATATTTAAATGCTATTTTTTTAAATATATATATCTGTATTAAACTAATCAAAAAGCGCATTTTGCAAAAAATTTCTCCCAAAGAAAGTATTAGTTTTATCTATACAATTATTTGAATAAGCATCTGCATGTGATTGATCCAACAGAATTTCTAAATGGATAATTACCTATTTTTCCAACCGATTTTGCTACAGATTAATATGAGGCCAATTAAGTATAAATTTTGGTTGAATTATTGCTGCTAATAAGCTACTATAAGAAAATCTATATTATAAAAAATGATAATTCATTATTATACGGAGCTGAGGAAAAATTTAAAGGTTCCTATTTATATCTGCAACTTCAATAACTGTATGCATATTATTATCTAAATCTATAGTGGACATTAATTAGTAAATACTTATAAATTTATTTTATTTTTAATTCATCAAATAAAACTTGTAGTTGTAAATCAAATTCGCAAATATCGTCTTGATAAATTTCTGAGAAAAATTTAAAATATTTCGGAAGATGCTAAAATACGGAGATGGATTATTTAGAAAAAATATTTTATTTTATTTATAAACTTTTTAAGTAAAAAAAATAAATTTAAAAATGATCGAGGATCGAATATTTAACCAAATGATCTCTCGATCACGATTCTCAATTTAAGAGAAAATCATAAATCCGGGTAAATTGTCAATATTAGGATTGAATCTAGGATCATCGATTATTTGAGCTCAATCCTTTAACAACTCTGGTTAAATTATTCCCTGCCTCACTCGTAAGGAATTGCATCTTTACTCAGATCAGAATCACCTTTATTAATATTTTATTGATTTTTATTAAAAAAAATTAAAATATAAATTTGGAATGCAAGCAAAATATAATAAATTAGAAATCAGATTTAGTAAAATTATAATTGTCATGAATAAATAATATTTTATCAAGATTCGTTAACATAAAGATGTCCTTTTTGCATTGAGTATTAATCCAGCGATGGAAAAAATTCTTTCGCTGGGTGAAATGGTTGCAGGTAAACAAAGAATCTTCCTAATTAAATTAGCAAGCCTGGGAAGTTTTAATCGTCTTTTTCACAAAAAGTTAATGCATCCTCTTCTGGTATATTATGTTGGCTGAGCAAAAGATGACCACTTGTTCTAGATTAATGTTATAATCGTTGCTTGAAAGTATTTACGATCTATTCTACGAATCTATAAATATTAATAAGATATCAGCTTTATACTGGTAAGGACTTGCACTTTAAGAGAAGTTACAAATGTCATTGAAACCCTTCCAAGTTCAATTTCTTTTTCAAATAGAACGGTTTGGGGGTATTATAATTTTTTCAATGTGAATATTGAATACCAATATATTTTAGTATATAATACTGATTTCAATTATTAATTTCAAAATAAATTAGGCTGATTTTATATCGTGATTTAAAAAATTTTGATTAAATTTGCCAACTCTATTTTATAGTAATGAAGACCATGGTCCGGTCTTTGGTCCTCAAAAAATATCGGTCCAGACCGTAATCCGAAATAAAAAGACCGGTCTTTTAATTTTTCTATTTTTTATGAAAAAATTTGTTTTTACTTAATTTATTCTTGTTTTATTAAATATAAAAATGTTAACAATATTATATCAAATATATGAAAAATACAAATATTTAATTAAAATTAATACTAATGCTTTTGTTTATAGAGCTACATTGCAAGGAATTAAAAGAAAGATTTAGTGGAGATGTTAGATATATTTTTGTCTATTATAAACCATTTTAATATGTTTTGGTTAATATGTTCAGTTTGATATTTATCTAATGGTACTGAGAAAATTTAAGGTGCTCGTGGATGATATATTAATATTAAGAGTAGATCAGATTTTTAAAGATTTTCTGAAAGAAGAATTACTTTTTTTTTATAATTCGAAGAATATTTTAGTTTTTTTGTCCATACAAAATATGTTGTTTTTGATTCGATGTTTTATCAGATGTCTCCGTAAGGTGCCTAATAATTTTTATAAGAAAATAATTTTAAGTTACTGTCTATGATACATTAAAATTGGTTTTGCAGTGAACACTAATTATGTGTTTTATATTGGGACCATAAATAATACTCTTTTTTTGACAAACTTTTCGTTTTCATAAAAATAAAATATAAACAAAAATTATATAAAAGATTACAAAAAATCGTAAATATTAATAAAACACCGATTTATCAATAAATCCCGGTCTAAGAAATAATAAAATTTGAGAAATTAACTATTTGTTTACTTTTTTAGAAAGAATCCCATATAAAAAATTGTTAGGTTCAAAAAAGTTTTATAGGGTTCCCCCAACAATGAGGCCTTGTACCATAATCTTACATGTATTTAGTGCTGTAAAAGTCAAAAAAGATACGCTTTATTCGTTACGTCAAATAAAAGGAACACGTTACCTTGTGATAAAAGGAAGGCGCGTTTCTAGCTATTCAGAAATAAGGCAAACTCGTTTTAAATATTGCATACAAAAATAATATATTATAAAATGAGATTTTTTTATAATAAATTTTTTCTTATATATAAAATTAAATAAAATTTTATAAAAATATATTATAAGATAAGATATTTTGTAATAATTTTTTATTTATTTTTAACAAATGATTTTCAAAATTTTGATCAGATAAATTTTTTTTATCTTTATCATAAAATAAACGTTGTTTATGTAAAGGAAGCTTTCTGTCAAGATATTTTCTCAAAATGGAAATAAGTTCAAGCTTTCTACCATCGTTGACCTATAAATTTATCCAGGGCTAATATAATTTAAATAGCAGGTAAATTATTGCTGATATTATACATCTTTATAGATGTGTTCGAATCTATTGAAAATAAATAAGATCAAAATATAAATTAAACAATATTTCAACTGTGTACCATTTATTTATAACTTGCAGGATTATTAATAAGTAGCTTTAATTTGA